TGAGACATCCTGGACCGCTGGCCTGGGGCCAGAACCACTTCCCTTCGCGCAGCTGCTGGGCTCGGCAGCTGCTGCCAAAACCTGGGGGGGGGGAGCCCTCCTTGCCTGCAGGCCCTCTTTCTTCTCCTAGCCCCACAAACTCTGAGACCTTCTCCCTGGGAGGAAGGCTGATCACCTGGCACTGAGGGACCCGGACACATCCCGCTTGAGGGCACACCTTCCCTTCCCTCTCCTTTGCACCAAAAGGACGGCGCAGCAATGGCCTTTAGGCTCTACACCCGTTTTTAACGTTTTTATTTTAAATATGCAAGATTTATCACATTATACAAGGCGATAAACTGGACTGTATGCAGAGCACGAGGGGAGAAGGCCCGATTGCAAAATTGCAGGGTGGTGGCGTTTACGGATATTTGCCATTAGTAATGCAGCAATAGGGCAGGGGGTGGGTGGGAACTGTTTCTGAGGCAGTATCCTACTTCTTTGTTTTGGGATGCTGGCAGTATTAAAGGGGGGGGGCAAAGACACAAAACCAAAGGACAAGAGGCGGTGGCACCTTAGAGCCCACAGATCTGTTTCAGCGTGAGCTGCATGGATCAGAGTCCTGGAACCACTGAGTAACCGGATTTTGCTCCCCAAAAGCTGACCCTGGGGCGGATCTGCTCCTTGTGAAGGTCCCACCACCTTTTACCCTTTGTTTGCCCCCCCCCCGCGCTCATCTCATCTCCCTCCTCCCCTTTTATAATTCTGCCCACCTGCCAATGAGAGGACCAGAACAGTTCCCTCTCTGTCCACGAGGGACAGAAACCTGCGCAAACCTTTGCAAACCAATGTAAAGAGAAATAAGGAGCCCCAATCTTTGCCCTGGCTCACCTCACAGCAGTGGGCACAGATGCCCCCCCACCCAATTTCTCTCCATGGGCAGAAGAAACAGGGGTTTCCTCTCTGGGGAAGAAGGCCCTCCCCACTTCTGGCTGGCAGGAAGGTTCTCAGAGCAAGCCCTCCCTGGTTGGAGCAAAACAGCCAAGAAAGCCCCCCCCCATGCCCAGGGTGGGAACACCAACAAGCCAGGATGGGTCTCTGTGTGTGTGCGTGCGTGTGAAGCCCAGCTCTCTACACAGCAAGACTGGGGGGCGGGAGGGGGCAAAGTGTGGCTCTGGCACAAACACACAGAACCCAGATCCTCTGAGGGGCGGAAGGAAAACCTTTTGCTTTCCCGCCAGGAAGCCTGGGTCGCCCAGACCAGGCAGCAGCGGCTCTCCACCGCCGGGAATTTCCTGCACAACTGCCCTCGTTCTTCCTTCCCTTCTGTCTGGAAATACTCCCAAACAACAGGGCTGGGAAAACTCCTGTGAGCGGAAGGTTGGCATAACGGAAAGCAAGCAAACCTTTCTCTAAGCAAAACCTTGTCGTCCCGGGGAACCCTCTGCCACAGGAGAGAGGGAGAGATCACAGGCACAGATGAGGTGGGGTCAGGGGGAGGCATGTTGCCCCTCTCTAAGCTGGGATGGATCAGAAGCCCCCCCCATCCCAAAGAGGCCACACAGGACCCACCCACCTCCAGCCCCAGCTGCCAGAGAGGGAAATAAAGGGGCTCGGGATCAAATTCTTCCTAGAAGCATAAATATTTGGCGGATATTTGGCGGAACGCCTTCTCCCACCAAGTTCTACCCGTGTCACTCGCGCGAGCCAGGAGGTGAGGCTGAGGAGCCTGACGCCGAGGGAGGCCCGGAGGGAAAAGACAAGAAATCGGGCCTTCTCGGCGGTGGCTCCTCACCTCTGGAACAACCTTCCCCCTGACATTCGCGCCGCCCCCTCACTGGGTATCTTTTAAAAGCAATTAAAGAC